TGCGCACGGGAGCTGCCGCCCGCGGACGGCGGCCTCGCCCTGCCTCGTGCCCCCCCGAGAGGGCGGCGGGGCGGAGCGGAGCGGAGCGGGGCCGGCCCGCGGCACCCCCAGCTCAGCGGTTGGTGCCGGGCAGCAAATGCTGGCGAGAACTGCGCCGGGGTGCCGGTGCGCATGGGGGGCGGGAGGGGCGCCGCCGTGGGAGCTGCACCGGCGGGCAGCCGCCTCTGCCTGGTACCTGAGTAGGCACAAGTTTGACTGTTTTGTGGGATTTCAGCTGCGTCGATGAGGAGTGCCCTCAGATTTGTAGCCGAGCAAAACACCTACGCCGATCCAAAACCAGAAAAACTTGGCTTCCGGCTGTGTTTTTTTCGCCATTTTTCAATTAGACGTCCTGTGTAATGTTTCATTCATAGAAATAGAAAGAAAATGTTCACAGTCTTGCAAAGTTTGTATACTTACCTTCTTTGACCAAAACTCTGAGCTACATTCAACCAAATTCATAAGGGTTTTTTTTATTTGCTTGTTTCTTTCTGTGAATAGACGTGATCCAGAATATTGACAAAAAAAAAAGGAAATGTGAAAAAATAGGAAGAGATTTTAAAACGAGAATTTTGGTGGAAAGTTGGCGAGTCAATCAGTATATGTATTAATACATGAGGATATGTGTCATGGTTTAACTAAGGAGCATGCAGCTGCTCACTCACACCCTTCCCCCCCCGCTGTGGGATGGGGAGGAGAGTTGGAAAAAAAGTAAAACTCGTGGCTTGAGATAAGAACAGTTTAATAATTGAAATAATAATAAAAAATAATTGTAATGAAAAGAAAGATAACAAAAAGAGAGAGAAATAAAATCCAAGGAAAAACCAAGTGATGCACAATGCAATTGTTCACCACCCAGCCAGTCCCTGAGCAGCAATCTGCCCCTCCCGGCCAGCCAATTTCCCCCAGCTTATATACTGAGCATGATGTTCTATGGTATGAAATGTCCCTTTGGCTACTTCGGGTCAGCTGTCCTGGCTGTCCCAACTTCTTGTGCAACTGCTTGCTGGCAGAGCATAGGAAACTGAAAAAATCCTTAACTTAGGATAAGCTCTACTTAGCGGCAACTAAAACATCAGTGTGTTAGCAACATGATTCTCACACTAAATGTAAAACGCACTGTACCAGCTACTAAGAAGAAAATTAACTCCATCCCATCTGAAACCAGGACAATGTGGAGCATTGAGGAGCAAGAACAGTCCTACTGAAAGCAGATGGAATATCATGTCTGCCAAAGAGCTGCTGAGATAATCAGGGATTTAGAAAGACTTTCTCCAAAAGTGCCTTTTATGGACCCCATGCTAGAGTCACGGAATTATACGGACTGTTAGGGATATTGACATCATTTGCTCTCACCACCCCACACAGAAAAGCGCTAGTGCCTGCTTTAAAATGAATAAAGATGAGGATCTCAGAACCTCCATCAGACCTTGTTCTGGTGTTTGCCATTCTCACAGTGAAAACTTTTTCTAGTGTCAAATCAACATTTTCCATGTTACAGCTTGTGCCGTGTTGTTTCACTGTTCCCTTCCAAGGAGAGTTGTGGCCTCATCTTCTCTATTCCCACAAGGGAGTTGTAGACAGTGCTGAGTTCTCTGCTGAAGGCTGAATAAGCCTGGTTCCTTCCATGTCTCTTTGGACATGCTGTGCTTCAGCTCCATTATTGTTTTGCTGGCTTCTGCAAGGTTTGCTTAATGGAGTCAGTGTGTATCTTGTCCAGGGAAGTGTGTGGCTGGTCTTCATCACCACAAGACCACACTGTTGGAAGATACTCAGCCTAGGACCCTGTTTCCTTTTCTGGCAAAGTTGTTCCCCAGCCTGTTGGTGCCCAGCCTTAATCGTTGCAGAGTTACTTCACGGGTTGGATAAGCCCAGAGACCTGTCTTGACCTTTGTGAGGTTCACGCTAGTGCATTTCTGCAGCACATCAGAGTTCCTCAGAAGAACGACCCTGCCTGCCACTCTATCATTCCTCCCTGCTCCACCCCATCCTGGTTTGTGATCACAGCAAACTTGCTGAGGGTATAGTCCATTCTATTGCCCTGGTTGTTGATAAGAACATTAAAGAGCACTGGGCTCAGCATTGATCTGTGAGGAATGGCACTAGTACCCAGCTACCATCTGGACTTCGTACATCTTATAACAGCACTTTGTGCCTAGCAGTCCAGGCAGTTTTCCATCCACTTTCTAGTCTACCTCTCCAAACAACGTCATCAGTTTGTCTGTAAAGATTGCTGAGGCTTATGATTTGCAGTGTTAGAATTTGCACGTTATTAGTGCCTGAGGCATTATTTCTCATTTCACATATGACTTTGCAAGTAAACTTACTGAGCTAGACTCTCTGGGCTTTTTTGTGGTTTTAATTGTTTACTTTAGAGGAGAGAGTTATAATAAAACTGAAATGTTTGTGTAAACAATGGATAGTCAGATGCTGATATCGTGCACTAAAATCAGATGTACTTTCACCCAGGTACTTTACTGTCTAAAACTGTAGGAAAATGCTGCTGCACTATGGTTGTGAGAGGTCAGAAGAGCAGGAGAGACCCCGCTCTTTGCATGCAGCTCCTGCATTCATCTTTCTGGAGAGAACCCCTTTAAGCTTTCAAAACAGAGTTTAAATGCCTCAGAGTGTGCCTGGGGCTGTTGGCCAAGAAGAATTATCTGCCAGCACAGGCAGTGGAGAGAAATAGAGTTAAATCAAGAAGAAAACAGAAAGTCATAATGTTTTCCTGCTTCAGCACCATCTCATTGTGAAAGCCAGTTGTGGAAGAAGGGTGGGGTGTGCTGGTGGGGTCAGAATGGGGCTGAGTCTTCACGTGTTAGTTTTGAGGTGAAATGACACTTTTCTTCTCTTGACTTTGGATCTCATAAGCCTTCTGCAAGCTGGGGGTGAATTTCTGCAAAGTTTGTGTGTGGAGCTGGCAGCATGCAACACAGAGAGACCTGGCTTTGGTTTAGCCATAGCATTCTCTATTTCTTTTATAGCAAATTCCTCATACAAACTCTGACTCCGTCTTTGTACTTGAGTGCAGGGGTGAAGGAGAAGAGTGAAGTCTGTTTTTGTGTACAACTTACAGGTTCTGGTGAGGATCTGGACTTCTTTTGCAGCCACCTACAAAAAAAAGCTGAATCACCTTTTTGGCAAAGACATTGAGGACCATAATTTGAAATGGCAGTTACACAACATATGTAGGCATTAAACAGCTTTGAATCCCTGCCACACAAGTGGTGAACATTAAATATGGCTGAAGCCAAGAATCCTGTATCAAAGTGGGGTGCTTTCAATGAAGCCACTCTTCCCTCTGGCTTGAGAAGAGAAAGAATTATTACTGCAGAAATGAGAGTTTATTTTGTTTTGGTTTTCCTCAGGATTAACTGTTTGCAGAGGGATCACGCAGGGAAGACCTATTTTATTCTGGTTCAAGTGAACCTTCTGGAATCTCTTGCATGTGTCTGTATATTTTAAGTAATCTAATTTTACAATAGATTAGAAAGTGTCTTAGTAGTGTTACATCAGTTCAATTTTCATGTTCAAGTTTTATTTTCCTGAAAAACAAATAAAATTTTGAAGTTCCTGATTTTACTGGCTCTGAATACTCTTTGTGTTTTAACGTTTTCATTAAGAAAGTAAATGAAAGTAGGAATTCTTTTGTGGCTTAATTGCTCACTATTTCATTTAAAAATATGGAATATTATTCTAGGCTATTAGAAACATATTGTTGTATACATTTCTTGCTAATTTTTAGCAAAATATACTCTCAAACATACTTTTCACAATATACTTTCTGCAGCATTGTGGAACAATAGCATGCATTAAAGAAGTGTTAGAATTATTTCAAACTGACATTATGAAAACTTTGTCTTTCCTTGCAGTGTTACCAAGTTGGCTGTGTACTGGCAATTCCTTTCAACACACACGTTTTAAAACACCAAAAAGTAAAGTATCCCTGACAAATAGGGATGAAGAAAAAGTGAAGGCACTCAATGCTTTTTATGCCTCAGTCTTCAATACTGATGATAGACTTTGGGCTGCCTGGTCATCTGAGTTGGAGGACCATGACTGCAGGAACAGTGACTTTCCATTTGTGGACACTGAAATTATAAGGGACCAGTTGTATCAGTTGAATGTTCCTACGTCCATGGGCTCAGATGCGATTCGTCCCAGAGTACTGAAGGAGCTAGTGGATGTTACAGCAGGACCCCTCTCAATTATCTACCAAAGGTCTTGGGAGTCTGGCAAGGTCCCTGCTGACTGGAAGCTAGTCAGTGTTATTCCAATTTACAAGAAGGGCAGGAGGGAAGACCCAGGAAACTACAGACCTGTTAGTCTAACTTCAGTATCTGGAAAAATTATGGAGAAGATCATGCTCTTGAGAGGCATTTAAAGGACAATGCAATCATCAGGCACAGCCAACATGGGTTCACAAAGGGAAAGTCCTGTTTAATGAATTTGATAGCCTTCTATGATAATGTCACCCACCTAGGGGATGAAAGAAAGGCAGTGGGTGTAGTTTTTCTGGATTTTGGTAAGGCTTTTGATACTGTGCCTCACAGCACCCTTCTGCACAAGTTGTCCAATTGTGTGATAAGCAGATACATGGTGCACTGGGTGAAGAACTAGCTGAACAGCAGGGCTCAAAGTGCTGCAGTGAATGGGGCTACATCTGGCTGGCAACCAGTCACCAGTGGTGTTCCTCAGGGTTCAGTTCTAGGGACAGTCCTGTTCAATATTTTTATCAATGATCTGGAAGCAGGAGCTGAATGCACCATTAGCAAGTTTGCTGATGATACTAAACTAGGAGGTGCTGTTGACTCTCCTGAGAGATAAGAGGCCTTGCAGAGGGATCTAGATAGATTGGAGCATTGGGCAATGATTAATGGGATGAAATTTAACAAGTCCATATGCCGGATTCTGCACCTGGGATGGAGG